CCCAATGCACATGTTAGTACTTCGTGTGTTCATTCCACGAAGTCATTCCTTGCAGATTGACCACAGATTCTCAATTGGGTTTAAATCAGGAGAGTTTCCGAGCCAGCGTTACGATTTCCGTGTGCTTACTTGGAGTGACGTCCATTACAAACAATGGCCATAGGACAACTAATCGACAGTCGAGACAAAAGTGTTTTGTCGTGATGAAAATCTGATGCAATCACAGATGACGAAATATTTTTCAAGGTCAAACAAGTTCTATCATACACCCCAAAAATAGATTCATATTACTGCACACCACTGCAAATGACCTAATCTAAGGAAAAATAGAAATTGATTACACCCTGTCACTCCAGTGGGTCTAAAACTGACCGTATGGTGAAAGAAAGGAAACTAAATTAATTTGCACAAGGGTGTATATAATTCCAGTTTTTATTCCCTTTAATTTTTATTCTTTTTATTTAATATTACAGTAGTTAAGTGGGGTTCTGTTCGGGATCACCGGCACTGTAACCAACCTCCTATAATCCGAAATAGGTTTTGCCTTTAAATAAAACACAAAACCGTAAAAAAATTAAATCATTTACGGTTTGTTGGCTCTTTCAATATTAAATGTGTAAAGTGTATGAGAATATTTTATAAGACATGAAATAGTGATGGTGAAAATGGTACATGCAATACAAGATAACATTTATTGGTTAAGTTGCAGTACAAGCGCCCAAAACACACGGTAATGAAAATGTTCCATTATGTTGTGAAATTGCCTGATTATTTCGAAAATGACAATAAAATTTGACCGTTTAGGATTTATCAATAATGTAAGTTCGATCACTTTCGCGTTGTCCGGCCGCCATTCCTAGCGTTGTTTACATACGTTTACCTCGAGTAATAATGCGCGGAAGCTTACTTAGTTAACGGCCTTTTTGCTTCTTTTCCTATCTTGTTACTCGTCTTGATTACTGTGCAATTTTCACGAAAGTTATTTTAAAATGCACTTTCTTTTTTTTTTTTAAATGAAGCTTTAAATGAATAGTTTTTTTTAATTGGTATAAATTCCTTTTTCCAATTAAAAATATTGTTTTTTGTAGAAATGAAGCTTTATTAAATAATGAATTCTTTTTTTTATTAAATTGTCGAATTGTAAGGAAACTTTCACGACACATTTTAAAAAAAAAACATCGTTGAAAAAAAGAAAAAATTCATTTTTTTACCCTTTCAGGCACGAAATTTTGATTTTATTTTTCATTTTTTTCATTTTTACTGTTATATTTGGATTCGCGCATTCATTCTAAACTTCGAGCATTGAACAGTAATCAAGACAAGTGAAGTTTCCGCGCATTACTACTGAGGCAAACGTATGTAAACAAAGCCAGTAATGGCAGCCGTTATGTCGACGCGACGCAAAAGAAGTGAAGGTTAAATTGTTCATAACTCCTAAACGGCAATAGAGCGCAGAATTTTAATGCCATTTTCGAAATAATCAGAAAATTTCACACTATAATGCAACATTTTCATTAACTGCGCGCAAGGAAAAGAAAGAAAGGGAATGGCGTGTCTTTGGTAGGGACAGAGGAAAGACTCAAACAATGGCGCCTGAATCTCCCGAAGCCACCAGGGCCAAGAACACATACAGCCCCATTCCCTCTGCCAACTGTAAGAGTGATGCCCCGGCTTAATACAATAAAACAGCAACTGAAGTACAAAAGCTGGGGGGAAATCGAGAATATCAGGAAATTTAAAGAACAGTTAAATGCGAAACGGGCCAAAAAACAAAAGTCCGTGGGAATGCCTGCCAACTCCATTCTCTGCCCCGTCTTCCAATAAAATATTTAATCATCCACCACCGTTCAAGTCATTGTTTAACACAGGTACAAAACCAAAAGACATTCCGTTACCGCGGCTATTGCCGTTCAAAAATATTCTTGCTCTTACATCTAGAAAAACTCCCATATCTACACCTACTCCTGCACCTTCTCAATACCCCCGAAGAAAAAATGAAAGTCCCGAATCTCCGGGCGCATCAGAAAAAAACCCCAAAAAACAAAGAAAATCAAGCCACCTGTTATACTAGATCATACCTATTCTATTGTAAATAGACTCTCCCACAGATAATAAGTAGTAGTAGTAGCACTCGCCAGGGGTCCCAGTGAGTTGGTTAGTCAGTCGATGTCGGACATTAAAGTATCAACCACCACAACTAGATTGCTGCGTCATTAACAATTATTTCAAGTTCCTAACGTTTTGTACGTCGAACCTAATTTAGGACCGACAAGCCTCCGCTGTGAAAACCACACTACAACCCCACCCTACTTACCTGGGGAAGACGTTTTTCCGAAAACAAGCAGAAAGAGTTTTCGCTCGAAATCCGAAAGGGCTCAAATGTCAGTGGAATTTTCGGCAGGTGAGCGGAAAAGGTAAATCAAAAACGGTGCTGACGGCTGTGTGATCGGGACCGGGTACGTGGCAGATTTAGGGGATTATAGAGGAGGCGAAGATGTCTCTCAAGATAGTACCCCCAAGGGCAAATATGAACGATAACCAAATGACGAAATTAAAACAATATTGTTCTGGGCGTCTCTCCGTTTTCTTTCACCCATCTATTTATAGGGATTTAAATTTAACATTTCTCGGGGACATTGGCGACCTGTCTCTTGATGTCACCATCAAGAGTAAGATGGACACAGGATCAATGGGGACAGGCTGTCGGTGTCCTCACCCCGTTTGATAATGTCTCTCTGGTTGGCTAGTGTAAATGCCAGAGACTTGAGGTCGGTGTATCGCAGGGTGAGGCTCCCTTGTGACCATCAACGCCTCGGGTTGAGTATATGTTGTGTGCAGGAGACCCGGTTATCTACTCGCGATTATGAAGGCATTCTGTTTAAGGGTGGGGTCCCTTTATTCAGCATGTTTTGATGGACGTTCGAGAGGTGTCATCCTGGTCTTTAAATGCGGCGTGAGCACCTGTCTTCGCAGATCAGGCAGGCAGAATGATTGCATGCTGAATGTTATTATAAACGATAAAACTCTTTTCGTGTCATATATATATATATATATATATATATATATATATATGTGTGTGTGTGTGTGTGTATATATATATATATATATATATATATATAGTGATCATGATGAAAGTGGATACTTTAGAAATCCATTATAATATTTTATTTCATGAGATTAAATCGATCTCGTCTCATCAGATCAAACAATTTTACAGCAATAAACGAATTTTAAATTTATCCAGGCAAAAGCGACTCCCTGAAAAAAATATGAATAACGTTTTTTTTAAGAATAATAAGGGATATAGATTTTAAAGTTTTAATATCTATCTATCTCTCTCTCTCTCTCTCTCTCTCTCTATATATATATATATATATATATATATATATATATATACAGGGTGACCCAAAACAACGGGAATTTTTTAAGTGCATATTGCCAGACATGAGCAAGTGGCAACACTGTGAGACAGTGACCTTGAGCAAGTAAACATTTCGCCATTTAGAATTCAAGATGAAATTCACAGTATCCCAACTGAGATGTTGCAGCAGTCAATGAGGAATCTCAACAGCAGATTTCAAGAATACATTCGTACAGGAGGACGCCATCTACAGGACGTAATTTTAAAAAAAATGAAAATTCCATCATTGTTTCTTAAATGGCATGTTTTAAGGTTTCAATTACTATCAATAAAATATTTTCTTCCATCACTTGGTTTTATTGGATTGTTAAAAAGTTCCCGTTTTTTGGGGTCACCTTATATATATATATATATATATATATATATGAAGAAAAATATACTGAAAAAAACATTCATACTGTCGGATCTATATCCATATATTTGCTTACATATATATATATATATATATATATATATATATATATATATATATATATATATATATATATATATATATATATCTGCTAGCTATGTGGAGAATATCCTTGCGTTGTTAGCTTAGAGGGAAGATAACCAGTAGATGAAAACACTCTAAGCTGAGTGGCAGTAGTGTTCCCAGCTGGCCACGCGAGATTTATATATAAATATTTGTAAACATACAATGGGGAACTATCTCAGGTATTCACTAATTGGTCGATGAAACTCCACTTTGCGTCTGTATTCTCGTTCGCACTGGTGTTTAATATTCAAAGCAAGGACGAACTGCAGACTTACAAAAATATAAGATACATTATGGCGAGAAAAATTGTCTAGCTCGACAGAGTTAACCAGCTTTCCTCGATGCATGTTACATAGCTTACATATGTCTCAAAGCGAACACTCTAACAACTCAGCCACGTATTCCTATTTCGGTGTGGTTTAAATAAACAGTAACAATTATGCAAAAAAAAAAAAACGTCTATGGTTTAACTACTTAATATATTAGCAATTGTATTTGAATAAATAACTTTACCGTATTATTGTTGTAAATTAGGGCAGGTTAATGAATAGAATAATCAATCGAAGGTTGGTAATGAATGATAATACTTAGGACAAGAACAACACATATAAGTAGTCAACTGCTATAAGTGAGTCAAGTGAATTCCACAATGAATCTCCAACTGCAGGATATCTACCACCCACCCCCTCTACGCGGTCAGATGTGGCACAAGGCCGAATTTAATGTGGGGTATCCGAGCCCGTAGGCTCGGCCAAAAATTCCCCGTAGACCCCGTATAAAACCAGGTCGGGATACTGTTTCCCGAGACGAGACTCTGCCCTTCGATATAGCCACGTCTTGGGATCCTCTCCGCGCAGAGACAGAGAATTTGACCAGCACAACTGGAGACATATCTCCAACTACAGACCAACATACAGTATTTACTACCGTATTTATGTGAATGGGAACATATCCATTATCGTCCGTAGGTATGCTACAACAATTATAAAGTTACGCTACGTATAAGTATAGGTTAACCATGACTAATCCGGAACACGGTAGAAACGGCTGCCGGTTTACTGATGGTTCCTTTTGAATGCACTTACCCCATTATCATCCGGTTTACGGCCATATCACGTTGAAACATCAGTTCCCATACAATCGCCGAAGTTAAGGGAAGTTGAGCTTGGTCAGTACCTAGATGGGTGACCGCTTGGGGAATACAAGGTTCCATAAGCTTGGACGTGCGGGTGGTGTCTGAATAATGACTCGGAATTGTTAATCGGAGAGCCGAGTTCCAATTCCATTTAGGTTCCTTGTATTCTCTTACGCACAGATATTCTTGAGAAAGTTATTAATCCATCTCTTCGCTCCTCCCCAGCTATGGGTTAATTAGTAACACTTATATCACTAAAACCAATATTATCTAAAAAAATAAATAAAATAAAACATAAGGGTTGATATGCAAAGACAACAACCAACCAATATCATCATCATCATTTAATCAGTTAGTGCATTTTTCGCCGCCGCTATGGTCACCACTCCCCTCTATCTCACAATTGGGGTTCATGTTTACATTCAAGACAGAATAGCGCAATGGCTTGTCGCTTCCTTTTGCACTGGGATGTTGAGGTTGCCCGCTCCCTCTTCTCAGAGGTGGATTTATTTTTTAAATAAGCTTCTAGCTTTTGCCCAATAAGGCAGGACCTACAGGTAGTTTGAATTCAGAGTTTCCTTCTTCTAGATTGGTTGCCACTCAACGCATTCTATACAGGTTATCATCCAAAGCTATATTATCCGAAGAGCGAAAAGTATAATTTATTCATTTAGCTTCTTTTACACCGCTGTGATCACCACCTCCCATCATCTTGGAATTGTGGTTAATGATGACATTTAAGTCAAAATAATGCAATGGCTTGCCGGTTTCTTTTGCCCCGGGGGAAGGGGGATGTTGACGCTACCCCGTCCCTCCTCTCAGTGGATTTGTTTTTTGAAATTACCTTCTTCGATCTTTTGCCTAAAGAGGCAGGACCTACAAAACAACAGGTGGTTTGAATTCAGAGTTTCCTTCTCCTAGATTGGTTGCCACTCAACGCATTTTATACAGGTTATCATCCAAAGCTATTTTATCCGAGGAGCGAAAAGTAAAATTTATTTTCATCCATTTAGCTTCTTTTGCACCGCTGTAGTCACCACACCCCCACCATCTTGGAATTGTAGATTATGATGACATTTAAGTCAGAATAGTGCAATGGATGCCGGTTTTTTTACCCCGGTGGGGGGGTGTTGAGGTTACCCCGTCCCTCCTCTCAGAGCTGGATTTGGTTTTTAAGTTACCTTTCTCTAACTACAAGGCAAGAGGTGGTTTGAATTCAGAGTTTCTTTCTCCTAGACTGGTTGCCAATCAAGACATTTTTATACAGAGCTATTTTATCCGAAGATCGAAAAGTAAAATTTATTTATTCATTCATTTAGCTTCTTTTGCACCGCTGTGATCACCACACCCCACCATTTTGGAATTGTAGATTATGATAACATTCAATTCAGAATAGTGCAATGGCTCGCTGGTTCCTTTTTGCACCGGGGATGCTGAGGTTATCGCGTTCCCTCCTCTCAGAAATTAAACAGGCAGGAACTTCAAGTGGTTTGAATCCAGAGTTTTCTTTTTCCTAAACTGGTTGCCAAAAAGACTGTAGGGCTAAGTTGGTTGGCTGATTTTGTTTAGCAGCATATCAACCTCTAAGGCTTATTTAATCCCGAAATCTAAATATTTTGAACACAATTTTTCGGCTTCAACCAATTATATATTATACGCAACTGCATGCCTTTAACTAAAGATAAAAATTATTTTTGGTAATTTTTATATTTTTATACTATTTTTATACATAGTTTTTTGTTTTTATTTGGTGGTTCACAATTTGCTAACCATTTTTACCAGTGCTCATATTGCAATTTTTGTTGTCATCATTACATGTTTTTACCAGAGCTTATATTGCAACTTTTGTTGTTATTCTTGCTTTTCTCTGGCACTCCTTATTACTGGTTCCCATATTGTATTTATTTCTATACTTGGTCGGCTCAGAAGATTTTTGTGGCCTAGCATATGTGCTGATTCCTTAAGTTTACGAATTTTCCAATGGTGTTCCTTGTCTATGATCTCAACCTGATCCCATAGAGGGCGGTGATCTATTTCATCTCATCTCATAATACCTCATCTCAGAAATATAGACAGGTATTGATCTCGAGAAGTCAGTGGAAATTAACGATGCTGCGTAACCAATACGATAAATTAGGGAACAATGACAGTTGTCACTAAACACCATTTCGAGCTATATATTTTAGCTACATATAATGCAACAGCCTCAATAAGCCAGTTGTATAAAGATGTAAAAGCATTTGTTTTAGTGAAAAATATGTTTATCTTTTAACATAATCTTTCTTATAAGTGTATCTAAGGATGGACTTGAGAAAACTGTTTTCTTTACAAATTTCTACCGGCTGTAGCACTGGCTTCTCGGTCAATGAATTTTCAAATATTTCCTCATAAGGAAACGGTTAATATTAACATTATCATTATTGTGTGTTTTTTTTTACCACAAGATTCTGGGTCGATACACTCTTCATTGTTTATTCATTTCATTCACCGCCACTGTGGTCACCACTCTCCTCTATCTCACAATTGTGATTCACATTGAAACTCAAGGCAAAATAGTACAATGGCTTGCCTGTTCCTTTTTCAACGGGGATGTTGAGATTACCCTGCCCCTCATCTCATAAGTTAAAGAGGCAGACAAGGCAGCAGGTAGTTTGAATTCAGAGATTTTATTCTCTTAGATTAGTTGTCAATCAAAACTATATAGCCCAGCCTGCCCTGCTATTTACCCATAGCTAGGGGAAAGAGATGAACACATTAGCACGTACGTGAAGGCAATGAACCCGACTGAAATTCAAACTCAGCTCTCCAATTTCACTTTCTGCGCCGTTAACCGTTATGCTACCTTCACTATCTGAGAAATTATTCGAACGAACATCCTTCGTTGTTTTAGTGACCATCAAAAGTGTACATCTGAGGAAGGTTGGAGAGCGCACCAATCGAAACGTCGGAATCGAAACAAAAAAAGGGAATATATCTTTTTTATGGCAGGTGTTTATAAATCTGTGAAGAGAGGTATGTCTTGATTTACTACAGAATTCACGCATCAGTGCGCCATTATTGATTCGCAAGTGTAAGAGGACTTGCAAAGATTTTAAACTGTATATAACGTTCCACTGCCTACACCTAGTATCACGTGATCCGCAGCTCAAACGCTGGGATAATGTTTGTCGACTCAGATAAAAATTGAAACGATTCCTTGAGATATTAGCATCAGGTCTTCTTTTGTACTCTAAGATAACCGACATTTCTTGAGAAAATGGCATATCCGGAACGTGACGACCATCTGATTCATCAGCCAGAGTTCTCATGGCGTCCGATTGATTGATTTAATTGATTGGGTGGATTAATATAAACATTTTTGTCTTTTTCTTGAGCTACAGTAAAAATTCGTTTCAGAAACACAGATTTTATTGTCAATTTCCCGGTCATAATCAATTGCTTCATTTTGTTTTATGGTATATCAACTTCAATAGGTTATTTAATGACGACAAAATTTTTATTGCGGGTAATATTTTTTTCCAAAATATGTATTACTAGTAATATTTTTTATTCACAAATGTATTGCTGGTAATATTTTTTCCAAAATGTATTACTGGTAATATTTTTTTTAAAGAATGTATTGCTGGTAATATTTTTTTCAAAAATGTATTGCTGGAAATATTTTTTTTTTTCAAAAATGTCTTCCTGGTAATATTTTTTTCAAAATATATATTACTGGTAAATTTTTTTTTTCAAAAATTTATTGCTGGTAATATTTTTTCCAAAATATGCATTACTGGTAATATTTTTTTAAAAAAATGTATTGCTGGTAATATTTTTTCCAAAATCTGTATTACTGGTAATATTTTTTTCAAAAATGTATTGCTGGTAATAATAATGTTTTTCTTGAAAATTCATCGCTGATAAAATTTTTTTACAAAAATGTATTGCTGTTATTAAAAACTATTTTTACACTTTCATAATACTTTGTCCCTAGGTTGGGGGTTAACTATTTGCTCATAGGTGAGACCCTAACAGGTGCTAGCACCTTGGATTAGAGTGGACCTGGGAGCATCAGCAAATAAGAGGTGGCTCCACTCTCCTCAAAACCTCCTGATCAAAGGCCTTGCTGTCGGATGTAGTTTATCGTCTTACCCAGGACGCATAACCAGTTGGACATGTCCTCTAAATATTGGTGATCTGTGCCTCTGTTTTATTGACGTAGGTAGTGGAAGAACATCCCTGCCTATATTTCAAATGTTTTATTTTAATTACAAAGGAGGGGGGGGCTAGCCAAGTCGACTTGATAGTTCTATTTATATACTTGTGAAAATAGACCTGAAAATATTTTAACTGAGCCCCATCTCAATTAATATGCGCTGATTTTATTAATACCTCTCACCATATCGCCTACATTTGGTTGTAATGCATGCGTCTAGTACATTCTAATCAGATTCGGTGTCACGATGGGGTCTATATTTGTACCACAGTCCTCTCAATAATAATAATAATAATAACAACTGGTATGAACCTCACCCAGATCCGGTTACGGAAATAGGACCGGTAACAATTTTATGAAACTACACCATACACACAGACAAAACAATTAAAGGTAAACGCCCAGCCATTGTTATTAGAGAGCTCAAACAAACAAAAAAAGCCTCATTATTGATATAGTAGTCCCTGCAGACTGCAAAATATCTTTGAAGACCTTCAAAAACCTATCAAAATACAAGGACCTTGAAATCGAAATTTCAAAAATGTGGCACATGGGAACATCAACAATCTCTGTTGTAGTTGGAGCCCTCGGATTGATTGGAAAAGATTCCAATAGATTCATTGAACGGATTTCTGGAAGCCCATGCTTTAAAGAAATACAAAAAAATGTTTTCACGAGTGCAGCGCACACTTTACGAAGGGTTTTATCTATGTAAACTATGTTTGTGGTGTTTTTTTTAACAGTCTGAATAATGTAAATAATGCAAGTGATCATAATACCTCATCTCAGAGATATAGACAGAGATATAGAGAGACATAGACATAAAGGCCGGAGCGTACAACGGCCGAAACATTGTGAATATGGTAAT